TTGAAAGCTGTTTCTTAGGATTGGATTGTTAGAATAAGGCAATGCAACACGTAGGGGATCTACATGGTAGAATGCCTCCCGGGAGGATATTTTATAGAAAACAGGCCCTTGTTTAGGTGTTAGATACGTGAAGAAAACCCGGAAAGCTCCACGTGACCGTCTCGTTGACAGGCTCGAACCCACGACCAGCGTTCAGTGGTTTTTTATCCACTTTACAATTAGTGGGCAAAGTCGTACGAAGTTCAAATTTTGCCACAACGGTGAAATAAGGTGAGAGTTTCAATGGAAAGTTTCGTCATGTGACAAACGTAAAAAAGACACTGTTCTTGGAGTTGACTCTGCCGCAGGACCACCTTTCTAAAGACTCGTGATTGATCCTATTTCTTAAAATGTGTGAAACCAACACTACGTAATCGTATTTAGGCGCCTTCCTAAAACCATTAACACGATAAAACTCGAGTTTAACAGATCTGAAACTTTGTACACCAAAATACACGTATAGTGCGTTGCTCCATGGTCGTGCAATTCTCATTTTTGCACTTTTATCACGTAACAAAAATAACCAATGAAGTTCCCGTCTTCTTCGTATTGGAAAAATTTGAACTTCATACAAATATTATGTTTATTATGACAAATTTCAAATTATCCGCCCCGTAAGGAATTATTCTGTACATTTGATCAATATGATGAAAATTCTGAAGTATTTTACTCGTATTTTATTTCATATAAATATCCACTATCGATCTCAAGTAGACTTGAAAAATTCTCTTCCTAAATGTAGGTTTAAAAATCGGGCAAAAATAGATTGTCCACCAGTGGCCAGGTGGATAAAACCACTGAATATTGTTAGTTGATCGCGGTTTCGCGCCTGGCCACGAGTTTTCGAGAACGTGAAGAAAACCCGAAAAACTGCAGGTGATCAGCCGGTTGAGAGGGCACGAATCCACGACTAACTACAAGTGTACAGTAGTGTTATCCACTCCGTTACTGGTGAGCCAAGACGCCCGAAAGAGGCTATCAGAATAAAAATAAAATGCCAAAAGACACCGCAGAATGCCATGTTTTTATGCTAAGGAATGCTCGAAATTATTTTTAGTAACAATCAAATTATAATTTTTATTTAATACAGTTATTCGGTGTTTTCAAGTATACGTAATTTCTTCCATATAATTTATTGCTTTATTGAAATATAAACGTACAGAAGATGATCGCATGAAAAATGAATTTAATTTAATGCTAATTTATTATATTTTCTTCGAACAAATTTATCAATTCTCGCGTTAGAGATTAATATTTCTTTATATAGCAAAGAATTTATCTTTTGTACAAATTTATTAGTACTGGACAATGATTAATATTGTAAATATTTACAAAGTTAGTTATTTTATGAGGATGGAAACAGGAAAAAACTCGTTTAGTGAATAGCACACATTCTCTATTGGAAAGTAAACAACTATTAGCATTAATGGATTGGCTTTTCTTTGTTTGTTTTATATCTGTTCTGATAAAACGTTAAATATGTAAGCTTATTGTATTTATTAAAATCTTGTATAAATCTATGAAAATATTTTTTAAAACACTTTAATAAATGAACCTCCCAAAAATCTCTCACCAAACAAATTGAAAGAAAATCAAATGTTTTGGAGGTTTGCTTTTGATTTTGGGCCGCATAAATTAACTTTTGAAACAATTTAATCTTCCTTCCCTTTTTCTTTTAGTTCCAGTTTTGTAAGCTCATAAATAAATTACAGTAACAAAAACTATGAAAATGGTCTTCTCACGCAATTACCCACTCGTAGTGGAGGGTTCGCGCCTCTCCAACGGGCTGGCCACGTGTTTTCTGGATTTTCTTTAGGTTTGCTGACATCTAAATAGGAACTAGCTTCCTATAAAAAGTATTCTGCTGAATGGCAACCCTGTGTTGCGTTGCATCCAACCAAACCAAAGCAACCAATCTTAAAGAACTTCATTAAAATAAAGTTTATATTGGTGTACCCGTTTCATGATCAACTTCTATTCTCCAGACACTAAGAGGGTTTTTAGTATGCCCTGTATGGGTTTTGCCAACTCATAATTTATAGTGAGTAATCCAAAATTAATATACCTATTGATCGAAGAGCAATTCATAAATTAAGTTCGGGGAGGGACCCACTCGTAACTCCTTCCCAGTAACTTAAAGTTGCGCCCTAATTATATGTATATATATATTCTGTGCAAAAGTTAGGTACAGTAATGTTAAAAAATTTCCAGCAACGAGTTGCGATAAACTTTATAAAGTTTAAAATTATGTGTGGCGCCAATTATGTGATTTTATTTTAAAAACTTTTTATATTATTATTATAAAATGGCAAAAAGCTTAATTTAAGTAAAGAGATCAGTTTTTATAAAAAATTGCAAATGCTAATAACGAATAAAATTTTCATTAAGTTCGACCCCATTTGAGATATGAAAAGTGACTTCCTTTCCCTTGATCTTTACCAAAATTTAATAGTATCAATCTATTTAATACACAAACCTCCCTGCAAAATTTCAGACATTCTCAACAAAAGGCATAAGAGTTAAGCTTCAAAATGGACAAACAAAATCGTGCCCTTCACACATATATACAGCAAAAAGCCCAATTTTTGCATTCTCAAAATTTCAAGGTCCCCGAGTCCAAAAATGTAAAAGGTCTTAAAGGTCAACTTTTGACCGATCGCCATACTTTTCCTTTTTATCTATAATTGCCGAGAAAATAATAAAAAATTCATTATAATGTCACAGCATGATACATCATTAAAGAACAGTTTCATCATCATGAGCATCCGCAAAAAAATTTTCAAGAGGGTTAAGCTTGAAGACAAATTATTACACCCAATAAACTTTTATTTTACTTGTTTAATTTTTGGTTTTTCCCCAATTAGGTGATAGAATACAGTATTGCATCAAAGCATCACATGGTCGAGGATGTAAAGTTACTTATCTCAATCACTTTTACAAATTTAATTTATAGAATTTTTTACTCGATCCAGAAAACAAGTGCCTTCTTCCTCCTGTTGGCGCGCATGTTCATCACAAATGTTGCATGTTAATAATTTATTAAGTTATTTTCGACATCGATCAGTACATGAATTTACAGACTGGTGTGAGCTTAACAATTAAATTTTTTGTTTATCCATTGTAAATTACGAAATTTTTCGCAAACTTATTTCTTTCAAATGTAATAAAAATGCGTAAGTGAACACACGTGAAAAAAATCCGTTACCAACTGTTAATTAGGTGCGAACCAATGACATTCTGTTTGGGTTTATTCGTTTAGGACAACGCGACACATGGAGGAAGTGCCTCCCAGGAGGTCATGAAAAATTGGTCCCTATTTAGATGTTACAAACGTGAAGAAAATCCGGAAAACTCCATGTGGTCAGTCCTGGGACGTGGGTTCAGTGGTTCCATTCACTCGCCTGGATGGAACCTCTGAACCTACGACCGGTACATTTAAAAACTATTGAATAATGCATACAACATTGATAATAATTAATAAAAACATTTCCAAATTGAAAATGAAATATAAAATAAATTATAAAATGGAAATTCCATCAAATTTTATGCATTTCCTGAAAACAATTTCAATTTCATTATTATAAATAAAACATTCTTTCGAACCAATAAATTAACAAAACATTCTTAAATTCAATTTTCCGAATTTATTCTATTTGTCGATGCTTTTATCCAATTGATAACCTTCCATTCTAATGATGTATTTCCGTCCGTATTCTGTCAAATTAAATATATTAATTATCCCCATTCATTAATTAAAACTACATGAAAAGCTCTTTTATTAAGATCAATAATAATTAATCACTGTAATATACATCTATCAATCATTATACATCATCACAATTGCCCAGAATTGTGGTGGTGTTTTATAATCTATTTCTAGAGTTAAAGAGAAATGGCAACGAACGTTCTGAAATTTTACTTTACAGACATTTGTGGATGTCATCATTAAATTTTAATTAAAATACTCTTTAATGTGTGTTTCGACATTAAGGAATAAATGCTCCTGCATTCTTTTGTTTTTTTTTAAACTCTTTTCCCCCGTGGGCCCTAAGAAGGCCTTTTTTAGCAAGCCTATTCTGGGTTCGGTCAGGCCTCACAATGGGGTGGCTGGCTGGTTAGGGACCGGCCTCATCAAAATTCGTCCCATCAGTGTCAGAGTTCGTAAAATCACTGAATACTGGTCGCGGATTCGACCGTGTAGTTATAACGTGAAGAAAGCCCGGGAAAAACACTTAAATAGCATTCGGTTTCCCATAAAATATCTCCCTGGAGACAGAACCTACGAATTACGGCTGAACCTCGATATAACTCCCTCAATATATTTTGATTAAATTCAAATTCAGTTACACGTTTTTAGTGAGTAATTATATTCATTTTACACATTCAGATCCGTGCACAAAGTATGGAAAGATGTGTAAAGTGGAGAAACTGGGTATAACATAAAGGCTGTATCAAGCGATTTTTTGTTAATCTTTCTGCTCTGTGGGCACTCGGAAAGTCTTTTTTTTCCATACTCATCGTGAGTATGGAAAAATAGTTCACAATGGGACAAGTCGTTTGGTGAACAGGCCCAACATATTCGGTCAGGTCAATCATGAAAAATTCCAAAGGAATTGCTTGTCTAAATTTGATCCTGGGTTCCCAGAGCAGTAGATTGACACCAGAAGCTTTCACCTAGTACAAGCCAATTGACTCAAAAAGGTTGACCAAGATGAGTGAAGGATCAGAATCAATGTCTTAACTTAAAATTACCTGTAAAGAGTAAACATTGGTCAAGTTATTTTCCAGTAACAGATGAAAATTGGGGCTTAGGACCCCTAAGCTACCATACTCAGTCTCCATTTTCATCTATATAACATAGATATCTTACACATGTAATTTATATTTAGTACTATTTCAAATTAACAAAATATAATAATAATAATAATAATAATAATAATTAAAGTTAATTAAAACTCAGAGTATTTTTATTACTACTTTAGAAGGATATTTTGTACATAATTTGATTTTGTTGCATATCTCTAATAAAATATTTAAAATTACATTTTGCATCTTAAACTGATTGTAAACATTATATCTATATATAAAATTAATACATAAAATGTTAGAAAAATCTGATAAATTAATAAATATTCTAGATATTTATTCTGTCGAAGATGCCAAAGTGTCTTCGAAAGATGATAGGGCTTCGCTCTTGAAGGACAGCTGATTATTGGTGTCGTCCATAGGAGTTGCTAAAAAATGTCCACCGTTCAGGATTTGAATTTGATGAGTCTGTTGTATCTCCACGATTTGTTCCGGAGTGGCTTGTAATACTTGTATTTCTCCATGTGCTGTCTGTATCACCTTAGAGTATTTTATAATAATATTTAATATTCAAAAAAAGAATAAATTTCTCAATTGTTAAAATAATATATATTCTGCAAATATGTTTACAGAATATATATTTTATTTTTTATATTTTTATCACTGACATGTTTAATGTATAATAAAGTATTTGTTTATCAAAAACATTACTCTGCTTAATAAAACTGAGAATAAACTTAATTATAATTACTAAATTAAAATATCAGAATAAGATTAATGTACAAAAGCTAATTTTTTAAAGCACATATAAATGCACATTTAATCTGATTTTTCTTGAACACAGAGGAGTATCTATAAAGTAGTGTAACATATCTATCTTGGCAAATGTCATTGAGCAAATCTGCAAAATATCTACATTTCTTGAAGCAAATTACATTGGAAACGTTATTATTTTATATTGTACAGGTTTCAAGTGTTTTGAATAGCTGAATTACTTTCTACTAAATAGAAGTGTAATAGTAGTGTTTTAAAATGATATTTGCAAGTGACATGTATTATATAGAGCAGTGATTTTGAACCTTTTTCTAATTGCAAACCAGTAAAATTATGAATAATATAATGTGGACTGAGTAAATATTTGCAATTAGAAATTATGTTTATTTATTAAGCTTATATAGGGATACCTAGTTACTGTATATAACAAAGTATGTACAATATCTCTAGAGTACTAATTAATTTTCACCCATCACTAGTACAGTCAAATATTTTTCTGCAGATCAGTGAAATTTTTTCACAGACTGGCTCCAGTCTGTGGAGTGGCAGTTGAAAAACACTGATATAGAAGGCAGTGAAAATTGAAAATTGTTTCATGTAGTTCTCACAAAAATGCTTATCAATTATGATAGCGTGAGACTATACATAAGTCTGCATATCTGAGAGGCTATTGCTAAACTTCAGTGAACTATTCTGTTCATCCATCTTTCAACCTAGATCTTGCTCTTTCCACATAATTTTTCAATCTTTTCAAAGGTGCAATTCTTAAATTTACAAAATTTAAGAAAATCCTTAAAAAAGACAATACAAATAATGTTTCTTCCCTATTTATAAGAACTGTAAGACTAAATATCTGCATCCATAATTTCCCAGTATAATAAGTCCTGTTAATACATAGAAAGTACTAGTATACAAAATAAATTATAAATAGATAAAAAAAAAGGACAAAAAGGCATAATAATTAATTAATGTTTCTTCCCACTTGTCTTTTCACATGCACATGAGAAAAATAACAGTTCCACGTGGAGTTAACCTTTCATTTGAGGCTAGTCATCTGCCTTAATATGTAAAAATGTTAAAAAAAATCCCTCTGACAATGGCACAATATTAAAAGATAAATACATTGATAAAAAATTTTTGTCCTGGCAATTTTTTATCAAATGCAATTCATAGTAAGAAATTTGAGAACGATGAAGTCATTTCTGAAGTAAAGAGGTGGTTGCAACAGATTGCAGAATAGGATTACTGATACATATAGGCTCTCATGTTTTAATGACATATGAAGACAATAGATTTGAAAGATGACTACATAGAAAAATTGATTCATGGCAGCCAAATAATATGCTGTACTCAAAATTTAATAAAAAAATAAATCAAGAATAAGAAAAAAAATTTGCTGTGTTACTCTCTGAGCAATTACTGTATTTATTTTGTAAGCCACAGGCTTTGAAATTCATTATGGCACATGTTCAGAAGGACAAATAAATCACTTTTAAAAAAAACTTATATTTATTTCAGTGTAATTTCATTTTTCTTATATAACAAACTTTGTTTGACTTTCAATGTTACTTAATGATATGTCAGCATTTTTAAGGCATTTTATTACCTAAAAATAAAAAAATTATATTTTGTACATTCCTACAGAGTGCAGAAACAACTTTGCATCAAGCAAAATTTAACTAGTACATTGCAGAAGCAAGATCTCCAATGTAGTACAGTAGAGCCTTGAAAACTCGGCACTCGATAACCCGGCACTCCGGATAACTCGGCCACACCCTGGCAGGGCAAAAAAATCCTTAGTTAATTAATTTTCATTATAGACAGCTTTATGCCTCTATAAGAGCNTTTACAAATCAGACTTAAGATTAATCAGACAAATCAGATTAAAGGAAAGTCAATTTGACCATATAATAATAATAATAATAATAATAATAATAATATATATCAATTATATAATAGCATTCTGATAAACCTATAGATATTTTAACAAGCTTAACTAAAATTTTCTCCATTTATGTAAGCTAATAATACATAGGATGCAATAAAATAGTTTAAAAACTATTACTTTTTAATAAAATAATAAGTTAATTTATTGTTAAATAAAAAATTATATATTTTCCAATTTGTCCTTCAAGAATATGAATACTTGAAAAGTTCCCATTTTGGGAGAAACCCCAACCCTGTCTTCAGTATCACTTATTTAATTTTCCACAGGAACAGACAAGATCCCAAATATTTTCAATTTTTGTTTTCTTAAATAAAAATCTGCAGTCAGTGAAAATGAAAACAATGATTTGTTAATCTGTTGTATTTAAGTTAATTTTATATAAAAACAAGTAAAATGGCAAAACCGTATTTGGGACAAGACTATGCCTTGGAGACTCACTACTAAGCAGAATCACTTTGACACTCAAAGCGGGTCTCATTCTCATTCTCCAATCTTCTTTGGTATTGCTGCTTTTGAGTGCTATCATTCAAACTTCACTGGCCACGACCACAAGGTCGTCCACGATGCCTTTTCGATGAAATTAACCTATCCAATTTCAAAATTTCTCTCTGTTGCATGTTGGCCCGGGTTGAATTTTTGTCGATGCATAATGAAAATTTCCCGTTTTTTGATAAAAATAATCGTGGCTATTGTATTGTCCGAAATTATTTTTTTTATTTTGCACAAACAATATACAGTTTAACCCGATTATAACGTCATTGGATATAACGACAACCCTAATATAATGTCAAATTTTTATCGGTCCCACGATTTTACTATACTAGATAATGTTAAAAAAACCCACTTGTAACAACATAAAACCGTTTTAACATCATATTTGAAGCACTCCCAAATTTACAAAATTAGATTACAAATTTTATTTAACATAGAAGAAACTACGTGTTCAGTCCTAAGGTCAGAGTTCACTTCTTAGAATGACTGTGGGTGGTACTCTCTCCCACCTGACTTTGGTGGGGTGAGATGCCTGTTTTGCCTGTTTGTAGAAGAGGGTTGCCATTTTGTATTTTATTTTGACTCGGTTCTCGGTCCCCCAACTACCTACAGGTCTGGATTTTTATGTGCAAATGATTTGGGCACCTAATACTCTGTGCCAAATATCAACTCTCGACATGTACTACTTCATACCTCTATGCTGGTAACATAAAACAGCAGTACAATTTTATAAACAAGACATAGTCTTGTCAAAAAAGCTATATTAAAACTCAAAAGTCAAAATTAACAGTTTCATTTCTTAAAATTTAGTATATTATTTTTACTTTTTGTTTTATTTTATCAGTTTATTTATATATAAAAATAAATAAAGCAAGTTAAATAATAAATATTAAATAAGATTATTAACTAAATAATTTGTAGTAGGTAATTAAGTTCACTAACAAGGGGACCTTATGATCTTGGAAATTCAGTTCGGGATGAGACTTCATAGGTTAGTAGTATACCTCAAGGGTGTCCACCCAGAAGAATTGTAAAACGCACTAGCCAGAAGATTCTGAGAAAAAGGGCTCTAAAATTTTAAGCGCATCTCATATACTGGTCGATTTTACATTATAGGAGCACAGCGAAATGGCTGAGTCTGTAGTGAACTCACTTGCCATGCAGGCAATCTAGATTCGATTCTCTCTTTAGCTAACTTTTTTTCTAACTTTTTTTTTAATTGTTTTAAAAATTATAACAACTTTTAAATAAAGTTAATGACCTAAAAATATTATCAATTAAATTTAATTGATAATATTTTTAGGTCATTAACTTTATTTAAAAGTTGTTATATTTCATAAAACAATTAAAAAAAAAGTTAGCTAAAGAGAGAATCGAATCTAGATTGCCTGCATGGCAAGTGAGTTCACTACAGACTCAGCCATTTCGCTGTGCTCCTATAATGTAAAATCGACCAGTATATGAGATGCGCTTAAAATTTTAGAGCCCTTTTTCTCAGAATCTTCTGGCTAGTGCGTTTTACAATTCTTCTGGGTGGACACCCTTGAGGTATACTACTAACCTATGAAGTCTCATCCCGAACTGAATTTCCAAGATCATAAGGTCCCCTTGTTAGTGAACTTAATTACCTACTACAAATTATTTAGTTAATAATCTTATTTAATATTTATTATTTAACTTGCTTTATTTATTTTTATATATAAATAAACTGATAAAATAAAACAAAAAGTAAAAATAATATACTAAATTTTAAGAAATGAAACTGTTAATTTTGACTTTTGAGTTTTAATATAGCTTTTTTGACAAGACTATGTCTTGTTTATAAAATTGTACTGCTGTTTTATGTTACCAGCATAGAGGTATGAAGTAGTACATGTCGAGAGTTGATATTTGGCACAGAGTATTAGGTGCCCAAATCATTTGCACATAAAAATCCAGACCTGTAGGTAGTTGGGGGACCGAGAACCGAGTCAAAATAAAATACAAAATGGCAACCCTCTTCTACAAACAGGCAAAACAGGCATCTCACCCCACCAAAGTCAGGTGGGAGAGAGTACCACCCACAGTCATTCTAAGAAGTGAACTCTGACCTTAGGACTGAACACGTAGTTTCTTCTATGTTAAATAAAATTTGTAATCTAATTTTGTAAATTTGGGAGTGCTTCAAATATGATGTNAGAAGCGGCACGCATGGAGAAAAATTTCAACATGGGATAGATTAATATATTTTTTTTGTACATAACCGGTTATCCGAAAAATAAGTTATCCAAACAACCTCAGTCCCCAATTGATTCGGATAAACGACGCTCTACTGTATTTCATTTTATTTAAAAATTTTAAAAGCATTCCTCTAATTTTAAAAGATTTTAATAAACAAAATAATATTAAATAAAATCACTGCAAGTTATGACGAATATTTAAATCATATATGGAATACAATCATTCAAATATTAAAAATATAAATTTTGAAATTCATAATGTTACTCTTATTATGTAGTCCAATAGCCAATTAACCAAAATGAACATTTAAAATTATTTTAAGAACAAGTTTGATACAACTACATGAATCAAATATTACAAAATGGTTCCAATAAAGCAATATAATGACAAATAATAACATGCAACTCTTCTAAAGCAATATCAATCATTTTTAAAATAAAATTTTATATTTTAGGTTTAGAAAAGGTGAGACCTAAAATAAACTGCTTGATGCAGGCAGTAAATTTGCAGTGAGTCAAATGATATAGGGAATGAATATCCAATAAAGATGTTGGCAGACTACACTTTATAAATGGGTGTGAATGCAGCACACTCAGAAATATCTTATCTGTCAAACTAATTCCAACAATCAAGGAAGAATTTGGTGGCAGCACAAAATATAGCATCTTCCTGTATGACTCTGCACCTTGACATTACACAAATATGATAACATATAATGTGTGTACAAGCCAACCAGTACTGTTTGTCATTGGGTTAGAAGGCTATAATACTAATAAATTATGAAATAATTCAGTACTAGAGGGAGGCGCCTAATGCCTCCCTCTAGTATCAGGTTATAGTGATGTTTGTTTATATAACGTGTCCTTTCTCTATGTTTTGTAAGCATCATTGGCACTTTAATTGACAGACAAATTATTGTTTAGGTAAAAAATTCATACAAGGGGACAGTTCTAATCTTAATCTTATTGAAATTGTCAGCATATTCTGGACACAAAGAAAGGATCTGAAAGTAAATAGCAACTGCAGAAGTATATTAAAAAAGTTTGTTACTACAAGGTTTAGTTCGTCAAGTATTTTAAAAAAAGCATTTCAAACTACTCAAATACTTGAAGTACAATCTTGCAAAACTGTTATTAAGACTTGAGATAGCCCTATGAAGTGTTCAGATTCTATTCAATGAGAAAATTTATATTATGTTTTTCAGGACTACTTTGTAAATTATTTTCTACTTCCATAATTGGAAAGGGAAAGTTCTTGTGAAGTACTCATTAACAATATTGGTGAGGATATGGTGTGAAATAATACAAGTCCAGTGTAGCATTATTAGCAGTAGATTGCATATTTTTGATTTATTCTTGATTTCTTCTCCGTACATATGTAAAATAATGCTTAAATATGCTACTTTGCATATCTGTTAAAAGCTTTTTGGTATATATAATAGGATAATGGAAAATCCATGGTTGCATAGTATACATGAAAACATCATTGTGTCCTATATTAATTAATGCTGTTTTTGCAATTTATGCATATCATTGCATTTTAATATTTTAGTATGTTATAAATCTAATTTGATATTCTAGAATTCCTGTTGGTATAAAGTATAAAATTACAGTTAAGACAATCTAATGTTGAAATAAGTGTTGTGTATTATTGTATTGCATTTCAAGATTCATTTTAAATCATTTTATTTTTATGCAATTTACTGCCTAATCTAATTTTTTATTGCATTCTAAATGATATAAATTTGTATTGTACTTGTAAAATAATTTTCAAATTTTATGAAAATGAAAGTATTTTTCAAACTATTAGAAGAGAGAAAATTTTGATGATTGTATTTCATATAAAACTTACTTTCTTGCATTATATTATGAAATGTATACTATAAATATATGATTCTAATAACAACATACAACGAATTCCATATATCATTAATGGATCAAGTTGTTTCTTTTTATGTTTTCCTGTTCCTGATATATTAGAACATGCTTGAGTTTCTCTATCAAATAAATAATCTAGCAGGGTTAATGCCATTTTCTCAGCAGTATGACAGGTCGTATTAATATGAAATAAGTCTCTGCAAAGAGAATATAGACTTTTTAAAAAAATTGTCATAGATAACAATAAATTTTAATTGAGAAATTACAGACGTAGGAGAAATATGTGTCCGCACTTTCATGTCTGGATTTGATTCATCTCCAAGCCAAGAACCATTCGGATAGTCAGCTAAGAATATAAAATTATGTTTAATTTGCCATTATGCTCATTCACTGTTAATATGAACAATTATATAGTCATACCTTCAGAATTCAAAGTTATTAATGTAAAATTTGAACCAACAGAAACAGAAGTTGATCCATTATCTACAGAATTAATGCTTTCTGAAGATGCTGAATAATTAAGTTTATATTAACAGATTAACATTTTTAATAACATGATATAATTAAAAAAATAAATAAATAAACAGGAGTACTTACTTGAAGAACTGAAAAAAAAAAAAAAAAACAATATTACATACTTTTAATTTGTATGAATTTTATATATTAATAACAAATTAAACAATTTGTAAAATTTTTAATAAATAAAAATTGTAAAAAATCATGACAGATACCTGAGGAAAGGACGATTATTTGATTCTTTCATAAGTGAAGAGAGCATTTCAACCTTTTCTTCTAAAGTTTGACAGAATTCATTAATGCTATCTAATCTCCTCTCAATTGCATCTAATCGTTCACATACAACTTGATTGAAATTCAATAATAATCTCTGCAATAATTTTTCATACTTCTATTATTAAACTATTCTTAAAAATTATTAAAATCTATTATTAANACTTTTCCTTTGTTTAAGGGTATTTGGGCAGTTTATTCTCTGTTGTATTCTCAAGCAAACAATACATACAAGTACAGTACAATATTTTCTGAGGAAACACGCATACTTATCCTTTTTTAACCCCATTCCCAATAACCCGGCATTTTCACAAACTCGGCCACCCTTCGGTCCACATTAGGCCGAGTTTTTGAGGCTCTACTGTATTTAAAAACAAGTGTTTGAGAGAATAGGCAATTGACAATGAACTGTTCAATAGAGCAATCAAAATGCATCCTCAACCTCCTCCTCATGAGGCCAATCCTATCCTGGCTCCTATGAAAGACAGTTGCATATTAATTATATAATGAGCCTCAAAATTAGTACATAACATTTTTTTAATTAAAATATTCAAATGGTAAGTTTTTGGACATTATTCATAATGAGTGAGAAGAAACTTGAGCTTTCTCTGCATGACCTTGGGCACTTACAACAAGAACAAAATTATGCTTCTGAAGGGTTACGTTTTGAAAACTAAACTGTTTTCCACAAAAATGCTATTATTTGAAAACAAACTAAACTATAACCCTAGAATCTGCTTCCTTTACACAGATGACTGTCTTTGTGCACGAGGCCTTACAGAAATGCCTCATAGTTCCCCACACATTTTTGTTGATGTCCAACTACTTTGAGTATTTTAACCAAACAAAGCACGTTTTGTTGTAATTTTGAGATGTTTTACCACTCTGATTTAAACTGTGCTGCTATCTTTCATAAAAGCTAAGAGGGTTTGGCACCATGAGAAGGTGGAGATGCATGTTGACTATATATGTTGTTAAATAGCTCACTACAGTTACTTATAATCTCATGCACTTATATTTAATTAATATGTAGCAGAAGCAAGATATACAATGTTTTTGTCCACCATGTACAGACATAGACCTTACTTTCATATGGATAACTTTATAAACTTCAAAATTTACTATTAATGAAACTACTGTACTTTGAAGTGAAAAAATTATAAGTATGGAAAAAAATTAGAATAGACAGAATCAGAGTTCAGGTTTGTTATTACTTATTAGTTATTTTGAAATGTCATGAGAAATATTATGTTTAGAAACTCAAACAATTTTTAAAGAACATAAAATCAGAATTCAAAATTAAAGAAATTTTTAAAAATCATTTGAGAAAAACAGTTTGATCTTAATTTTTTATGTCAGTGCATTAATACTTAATAATGTTGTAAAATAGCAGAAAAAAGAAGTTTTTCATAAAGATTATTTTATTCAATTAAATAGTAGGTCTAAATCAATTACATGTTATATAATTATCAACATTCTACATATTAACTAATTTGTAAAATTAATTAGTTAATCACATAATTACTATTTGCAGCAAGTAATTTATCTGTATTAATTTTAATAAAATAAAATGAGTATCCTTGATATATTTTCGAAGTTTTCAGAAATTTGAAATCTGTAAATAATTTCATTTATATGTTTTCTAATTAACATTAAAAAATTTAGCATAAAAAATAAATAAAAAAATACCTGTATATCTGGTATAATTTGTTGTAAATTTTGTTGATCTTCAGATTGCAAAGAAAATTGTAAACAATGTGATGGTAATTGCATTGATTCTCCATTAGATAATTCTTCGTTACTGCAAAATGTTTCCTCAGGAACTGACTTATCCATTGAACTATCAATAGAATCTGGTGATGGGGATAATGCTTGACCCTTAAATAATAAATTTCTCATAAACTTTGGTCTATGTTTTTCATCAATATGTTAGAAAGTAAAATTAAATGTTTGTTGTGTTAGTTAGCAAACAAATCAAATGAAAACATTGCATATTACGAACTCTACCTTTGAAAGAAGAGGCAATCCTTTTTGCTTTCTTCTAAATGCAGTACGACACTTGGAATCAAGATTCTGTTTAATTCTGTTCCATTCATAATTGCTTAAATTAAATTTATGCATGAGATGACCTAAAAAGTAACAGCAATTCAGTTTCTGGTGATAAAATTTTAAAATATTCATAAAAATGTTAACACTTATTAAAGATTCCAATTTTATAAATAAAACCACCAATTGAAATTGCTGAAATATTTCATAATTTTGCAAATTACTCTTAACTAATAAATATCATAAGTTTCAAGATTCAAACAATAACTTAAGATTTTGGGATAACAAAAGTTTACTCTTACGTGTACTAGGATATTACTTTAATTTTATCAAATATACATTTCTTTTTAGCTATTAAAAACTTTCAAATTAATTCCTAGATTTTATAAATTTTCATAATTTTAACTGAATAATTTATACAATAATTTAATAATAATAAACAAAAATTAACAAAATCTATATTGTTAAATACAGTATAAATTAGACAGGCATACTAGAACTTAGAGATCTGTGAATACTCAAAAACTAGAACATATTGAAATATTTTTTAAAGAATCATTTATTGAATTGTCATGATTTGTTCTATTTAAAACTTTTAAAATATATAATATACCTTATAATGTATAAACTAATAGGAAAAAGAGAAAAACATACATAGAACTATATTTTCAGTTTATACTATTCATTTTAACATACTAATACAATTGTAACACTTTTCTTTCACTTATGTACAGTACATATTATGATGATGATAAAGTAAATGCTTTATGACGATGTGTTCAAATGTTTTAAATACTATATAATGTAATATAATGTAAGAATGTAAAAATTCTTAGATTGCAACTGCTTTATCATCAGAAAATCTTTGAGTTATAAATGCAGACACTTCCTGTTATATTTAGTTGATAATACGAGGGTCATTCTAAAAGTAAAGAACATTTGTTTCTCTAGATATTTTTATTTAAGATAATGAAACAAAACTTATTTTATAACAAATATGATATCTTAGCTATTTTTCTACATAGCTGCCATACAAATTTAAACATTTGTCATAGTGTATCACAAGCTTTTCTATGCCTTCTGCATACTAAGTTACCACTAAGTTCTTGAACCAGTCATTAACAGCCTCTTTCAGTTCATTGTCACTTCCATAGTGATTCCCGGCCAAAAAATCCTTCAATTTTGGGAAAAGATGGGAATCACTCGGAGCCAAGTCCAGGCTATAAAAAGGATGTTCAAAACCTTCCCATTTAAACTGCTGAAGCAAGTTCTTCGTCAATGCAGCAGCATGCGGACATGTGTTATCCTGAAGAAGCACAATGCCTCTGGACAACAATCCCTGCCGTTTGTTTCAAATTGAAGCTTCATTCATCATATTACCATAAACCTCAGTTATCTGTCTGTAAATTTCGATAGGGCAAACTTTTTTTTTTGCATTCAAAAAGCATATTACACTACGAACTTCACACTTGGCGAAATCTTTAATTTTGTCACACATTTCAAAGTCACACTGTAAACAGTAAACGATTGCTGTGGCTTGTTGTTAGCAACAGATTGATGCAAAAAATGGGAAGGTCCATGACATGGCAGTGGGGGGTGGTGGGAGAACTACATGGTTTATGAGATCAAAAAGTTCTTTTCTTTCAGAATGACCCTCGTAATAACATATTAAGAATTAGATGACTGTTTATAATTATAATTATGACTTAAATGTTTATAATTGTGTGTGTTTTTTTAATTATTATGGACAAACAGATCAAACTTTATAAACTCAATGTTATTTAAGGTATAACATGTGTGTGTTAAGTACAGGGTGGGAAAGAGTCACTTAACACCCCTGTTACAGAATATAGATTGTACCAAAGAATGTATCAATACAGTACATTTAGCATATCATGCAACATGCACAACTCTAACTGTTCGAGGTAAGTCAATAAAATCTTTCAGCAATCAATTCCATGTGAAATTCTGATTCTAAATGATGTGCCACATGCCCCCCTTCCCATTTACAGTTCTGAAGTTGCATTCAATATGGTCACCATCAAGGTAGCGACCCACACATCAATCTGTTTTCCCATGGTCTAATGTGTTCCCGACATGAGATATTACCTTTTGGTACATTCTATATTCTGTAGTAGAGGGGTGTTAGGTAACTTTCTTTCTCATCCTGTTCCTTCAGAGGTTAAGTAACATTCAACAATCAATTCTGTACAAAATTTACATGACTTTAAAAATTTATTGAAAATTAATCAATTTGATTTTCAAATTTCTGAACTGTGTATTAATAGAAGAATTAAATAGAATTCTAATGAAAAACTGTTTCGTTCTAACTATTCCTATTTTTAAGAATTTTTGATAGAGGATTTTCCCATAGAAAAAGTATTAAAAAAATCAAACCATTTGCTGGAAATGTGCATAACCAAAGAGTTTACAAATCAGACTTAAGATTAATCAGACAAATCAGATTAAAGGAAAGTCAATTTGACCATATAATAATAATAATAATAATAATAATAATAATATATATCAATTATATAATAGCATTCTGATAAACCTATAGATATTTTAACAAGCTTAACTAAAATTTTCTCCATTTATGTAAGCTAATAATACATAGGATGCAATAAAATAGTTTAAAAACTATTACTTTTTAATAAAATAATAAGTTAATTTATTGTTAAATAAAAAATTATATATTTTCCAATTTGTCCTTCAAGAATATGAATACTTGAAAAGTTCCCATTTTGGGAGAAACCCCAACCCTGTCTTCAGTATCACTTATTTAATTTTCCACAGGAACAGACAAGATCCCAAATATTTTCAATTTTTGTTTTCTTAAATAAAAATCTGCAGTCAGTGAAAATGAAAACAATGATTTGTTAATCTGTTGTATTTAAGTTAATTTTATATAAAAACAAGTAAAATGGCAAAACCGTATTTGGGACAAGACTATGCCTTGGAGACTCACTACTAAGCAGAATCACTTTGACACTCAAAGCGGGTCTCATTCTCATTCTCCAATCTTCTTTGGTATTGCTGCTTTTGAGTGCTATCATTCAAACTTCACTGGCCACGACCACAAGGTCGTCCACGATGCCTTTTCGATGAAATTAACCTATCCAATTTCAAAATTTCTCTCTGTTGCATGTTGGCCCGGGTTGAATTTTTGTCGATGCATAATGAAAATTTCCCGTTTTTTGATAAAAATAATCGTGGCTATTGTATTGTCCGAAATTATTTTTTTTATTTTGCACAAACAATATACAGTTTAACCCGATTATAACGTCATTGGATATAACGACAACCCTAATATAATGTCAAATTTTTATCGGTCCCACGATTTTACTATACTAGATAATGTTAAAAAAACCCACTTGTAACAACATAAAACCGTTTTAACATCATATTTGAAGCACTCCCAAATTTACAAAATTAGATTACAAATTTTATTTAACATAGAAGAAACTACGTGTTCAGTCCTAAGGTCAGAGTTCACTTCTTAGAATGACTGTGGGTGGTACTCTCTCCCACCTGACTTTGGTGGGGTGAGATGCCTGTTTTGCCTGTTTGTAGAAGAGGGTTGCCATTTTGTATTTTATTTTGACTCGGTTCTCGGTCCCCCAACTACCTACAGGTCTGGATTTTTATGTGCAAATGATTTGGGCACCTAATACTCTGTGCCAAATATCAACTCTCGACATGTACTACTTCATACCTCTATGCTGGTAACATAAAACAGCAGTACAATTTTATAAACAAGACATAGTCTTGTCAAAAAAGCTATATTAAAACTCAAAAGTCAAAATTAACAGTTTCATTTCTTAAAATTTAGTATATTATTTTTACTTTTTGTTTTATTTTATCAGTTTATTTATATATAAAAATAAATAAAGCAAGTTAAATAATAAATATTAAATAAGATTATTAACTAAATAATTTGTAGTAGGTAATTAAGTTCACTAACAAGGGGACCTTATGATCTTGGAAATTCAGTTCGGGATGAGACTTCATAGGTTAGTAGTATACCTCAAGGGTGTCCACCCAGAAGAATTGTAAAACGCACTAGCCAGAAGATTCTGAGAAAAAGGGCTCTAAAATTTTAAGCGCATCTCATATACTGGTCGATTTTACATTATAGGAGCACAGCGAAATGGCTGAGTCTGTAGTGAACTCACTTGCCATGCAGGCAATCTAGATTCGATTCTCTCTTTAGCTAACTTTTTTTTTAATTGTTTTATGAAATATAACAACTTTTAAATAAAGTTAATGACCTAAAAATATTATCAATTAAATTTAATTGATAATATTTTTAGGTCATTAACTTTATTTAAAAGTTGTTATATTTCATAAAACAATTAAAAAAAAAGTTAGCTAAAGAGAGAATCGAATCTAGATTGCCTGCATGGCAAGTGAGTTCACTACAGACTCAGCCATTTCGCTGTGCTCCTATAATGTAAAATCGACCAGTATATGAGATGCGCTTAAAATTTTAGAGCCCTTTTTCTCAGAATCTTCTGGCTAGTGCGTTTTACAATTCTTCTGGGTGGACACCCTTGAGGTATACTACTAACCTATGAAGTCTCATCCCGAACTGAATTTCCAAGATCATAAGGTCCCCTTGTTAGTGAACTTAATTACCTACTACAAATTATTTAGTTAATAATCTTATTTAATATTTATTATTTAACTTGCTTTATTTATTTTTATATATAAATAAACTGATAAAATAAAACAAAAAGTAAAAATAATATACTAAATTTTAAGAAATGAAACTGTTAATTTTGACTTTTGAGTTTTAATATAGCTTTTTTGACAAGACTATGTCTTGTTTATAAAATTGTACTGCTGTTTTATGTTACCAGCATAGAGGTATGAAGTAGTACATGTCGAGAGTTGATATTTGGCACAGAGTATTAGGTGCCCAAATCATTTGCACATAAAAATCCAGACCTGTAGGTAGTTGGGGGACCGAGANTAAAAAAAAAAAAAAAAAACAATATTACATACTTTTAATTTGTATGAATTTTATATATTAATAACAAATTAAACAATTTGTAAAATTTTTAATAAATAAAAATTGTAAAAAATCATGACAGATACCTGAGGAAAGGACGATTATTTGATTCTTTCATAAGTGAAGAGAGCATTTCAACCTTTTCTTCTAAAGTTTGACAGAATTCATTAATGCTATCTAATCTCCTCTCAATTGCATCTAATCGTTCACATACAACTTGATTGAAATTCAATAATAATCTCTGCAATAATTTTTCATACTTCTATTATTAAACTATTCTTAAAAATTATTAAAATCTATTATTAAATTAAATATTCTGATTTATGTTGTCAATTATCATTCCTTAGCATGTAATTTTATGTGACAGTCATTGATTGTATTATGATGAATCAGTGTGCCTTTATCAATTGTAAAAGATATCATTAACAGTTTGTTACATGTAAAGTTAATAAAAAAAAACCCTTACAATGCTGGTCTGCAGCACTTCTAAGTACTGCAAGAAAAGCTCAATCTATCTGCCCTTCATCATCTTATCGTTAAAACCTTATGTTTTTTGCAAAAATGTAAGGTTCACTTGCAGTTTTTGGCTCTTTAGAACAGCACAGAAGCTGAAGTGCAGCAATACTAGAGATCACATGCTAAAGATCTGCATCTTATGTGGTAGCTAGTCTGAACTTTAACCCCTTCTAGAGCTGAAATAATGCATTTAAAGAGCCATGTTTACAAAACGTTTTTAGATTCTTAAGGCTTCTATAAATGTAGTAAATATCTTGCCACTACATTGCCTAACACTGTGTATGTGTAAATACATTCTTTTTTATCTTCTTAATGTAAGTATAAAAAATAACAACAAAATTATATAACATTAAAGATAATTATTTTCTTAATTTATTTGTTGTTGTGAAACAGTATTGTACTAAAATTTTTTAAGTGTTAAACACAACATTGTGTTATTAATCAATCACGTGGCTTCTTTTCCATCTTTATTTAATTGATACGGTATTTCTAGACATTTCAGGCTTTCGGCCCCTCATCATTCAACTAAAACAAGAAATAATGTATACAGCATTTAAATATTATATTTTACAAGTAAATTGCACAAACAATATAAAAAACATGTATGTAACTTACACATACCATTAATTACGATATGGCACTTGTTCACTATAAGTTTGCATATCACAAACCCGAAGAATGAGGTGGTTACACGGACATTATAAAATTTCGGTACATCTAGTTAAAATGGTAAAGTGATATATAAAAAATACACAAACTATGGGTATTAACAAAATGAAGTCTTACTGTTAAGTATATTCCTTTCTCCTATCAGAGACGATGAATGTATGTTGCTAAGTTCATTCAGATACTTTTGTTGGTACTGTACATTTACGTTGGTACAAACTTTCATAAAATTTCTGCACAAAATTCTTTAGTATAGCTTGTTCCACTTTTTGGTTAAACTTGGACTTAGCACTATCAAGTAGTGTTTCTGACTGTTTGCAATGATCAAAATTTACATAATCATGTAGAGTAGCTATAAAGCAGCCGAAACGAATCTAAGCCCTCTGATGGAGTTTTTAAAAAAAATTTTTTTATAAAAATTACATCTAAGATAAATTAAATTTAAATTTCTTAAAATATATTCAACCAGTTTTTATTTATGTTTATGCTTGTGCTTAAATTTTTATTTATGCAATTTTTTGAGTTGATTATGGCTACACTTTCTTTGAATTTTCTGTTATATGTATTTCTTTCTTTGTATAAAATTTTTGTGTTATCTTTATCAATATTGCAATTATTTATGATATACATTTTGTTTCTCCGATATTGATAAAATTTAAATTGAAAACGAGTAAAAGAACATTTAGCAGATATAAAATATCGTCGAATGCAATCCATCTTTCACAATCATTGTCTCATAAATAATTGTAATATTGATAAAGATAACACAAAAATTTTATACAAAGAAAGAAATACATATAACAGAAAATTCAAAGAAAGTGTAGCCATAATCAACTCAAAAAATTGCATAAATAAAAATTTAAGCACAAGCATAAACATAAATAAAAACTGGTTGAATATATTTTAAGAAATTTAAATTTAATTTATCTTAGATGTAATTTTTATAAAAAAATTTTTTTTAAAAACTCCATCAGAGGGCTTAGATTCGTTTCGGCTGCTTTATAGCTACTCTACATGATTATGTAAATTTTGATCATTGCAAACAGTCAGAAACACTACTTGATAGTGCTAAGTCCAAGTTTAACCAAAAAGTGGAACAAGCTATACTAAAGAATTTTGTGCAGAAATTTTATGAAAGTTTGTACCAACGTAAATGTACAGTACCAACAAAAGTATCTGAATGAACTTAGCAACATACATTCATCGTCTCTGATAGGAGAAAGGAATATACTTAACAGTAAGACTTCATTTTGTTAATACCCATAGTTTGTGTATTTTTTATATATCACTTTACCATTTTAACTAGATGTACCGAAATTTTATAATGTCCGTGTAACCACCTCATTCTTCGGGTTTGTGATATGCAAACTTATAGTGAACAAGTGCCATATCGTAATTAATGGTATGTGTAAGTTACATACATGTTTTTTATATTGTTTGTGCAATTTACTTGTAAAATATAATATTTAAATGCTGTATACATTATTTCTTGTTTTAGTTGAATGATGAGGGGCCGAAAGCCTGAAACGTGTAGAAATAGCTTCTTGATAAAAAGCACTGAGTTCAGCATTAATACGATTTTTCTTATATCGCAAGTACTTTCGACGAGTATTATATCGTCGTCCTCAGGCGAAAAAAAGAACAAATTTGAAAACTAGAACATGCAGTGTGTTCCAAGTAAAAAACGGAAAATTTTTCTTGTCAATTTCTAAATTATAACGTTCGGTAATTCCGTTGGTCACGTGCAACAAGCTTTTGCGGTCGTTCGAAATATCTTAAATCCACATGACTAGCAGCGCATGCGTTGAGGAGTGATCGTACTAATTATGCGACTCTTGGCGCTTTTTGCTGTTTAAACGCTAGTATAAAGTAACCCATATTTCGGGCAAGTCGAGTGTGGGGATGTTGCATGCGTCTGTGGTCATTGTAAGGAGCGCTTCCCAAATAAATGTAATTCTTCTGTTGTTACAGCTCCTGAGCAACGCTGTTTTTGACCATAACGGGTTATAGCCCTGCTGTAGAACTTTTCTGGCGAGCTCTGTGGTCTGTCTTCCTTTGTTTATATCATCCTGATGTTCTGCGATACGGCAAGCGATCATTCTTGTCGTTGCCCCTATATACTTCTCAATTGTCCCCATTACTGGATTTATCTATTTCTATACATGTAGAAATACTGTATCAATTAAAGAAAGATGGAAAAGAAGCCACGTGATTGATTAATAACACGATCTTGTGTTTAACACTCTTCTTAATTTATCTTTAATTAAGAACTCTACAATTGATATTCACAGTACCAGTTGCAAAGAATGATATTTTTCTATTATTAATGAATATTATATTCTGAAAAGACAAATTAAATTCATAAAAATATGGATAAATATTTAAACTTTTAGGAACATGCGAAAATACTTAATGATTTATTTTGTTACATAAAATATTGTATACATTTATATATAATTAAATCAGAGTCATTTCACATCTAAAAAGATACGAAAAAAATTTTTTAATCAATGATAAATCAAAATTTTATATTTTTTAATTATTTCCAAATTTTTAAAAATAAAATTATAAATTCTTAGATAAATAATTATTAATTTTATTACTTTTTTCCTAAATAAATTTGTATGAAGGAGCTTTCTTAAGTTTGATTAAAGTTAGCCTCACATAATTTAAATATACTAACAGTAAACAATTATACTTTAAATTAAGTATAATTGTTAAATAATAAGACTATCATATTATATATTTTATTTAATGTGATGATTAATAAAGAAACCTGATTACAGAATTTAACTGCCTATTATTTTCCATTAAACTGTAGAATTAGATTTTTAATAATTTAAAACAGTCTGTATAATTTTTCATCAGGTTTAACTGAAGTATTTATAAATGTTCATATCTAATTGAAGTTGTATTTGTTTGGTTTATCAATATTACTTAAAAAGAACTGATGTTTGGATAAATCCATATCTCTCTCGTGGTGCCATCAAGAGAGAGAAGCTGGAGATTTTTCCCCAAGTTTGCAGGAACTTACAGGCCTGTAGTGATTTTTAAAGCTATAAATTTATATTCTTTTTACTAATAGAAAATAGAAATTTTAAGACTGCTATTTATTTTACTAATAAATAACATTTTATGCATTTCATTTCATCAAAAAAAAAAAAAGCAAAAAAATGTCTGCTATATCTTCAGACCCCATACCGTGCTTTTGACAGCAGTTTTCTCCATTTGTCTGAATTTCTCATGTACTTGCAAAACAGTTTTCTAAATATCAAATTAGAATAAACTGTGATATATTCAATTTTATTTTCCATTTAAACTTTAAATTCAAAAAATTTTTTCCTGCACATGTGGATCATTCACATCCATGACTCAACAGAATAAGTTTGAGAAACAAGGTGCTAAAAATAATTATTGGTTTAACTGCATCTTCCTTGTCTTTGATCAATAAAGTTAAATTTATGGTAAACAATTGTCATATTATGTTAGGCTATATTAACGATAGTAACTACTAATTATATTTCAAGTAATTTGGCCTATATACAGATATTAGGCACCATCTCTTGATACATTTAATAATTAATTTAGATAATTCTGGAAGAAAAGAATCAGCCCAAAGTGGGACTTGAATCCACAACTCCTGCTTACCATGTAGTCACATCACCAGTTAAACTATCTGGATCTCTGTCTGATCTTCACTTCCAAAACCATTAATTTAGATATAACCATACTGGTTACTCATGATGCCAACTTTTGGGATGACTCNAAAAAAAAAAAAAGCAAAAAAATGTCTGCTATATCTTCAGACCCCATACCGTGCTTTTGACAGCAGTTTTCTCCATTTGTCTGAATTTCTCATGTACTTGCAAAACAGTTTTCTAAATATCAAATTAGAATAAACTGTGATATATTCAATTTTATTTTCCATTTAAACTTTAAATTCAAAAAATTTTTTCCTGCACATGTGGATCATTCACATCCATGACTCAACAGAATAAGTTTGAGAAACAAGGTGCTAAAAATAATTATTGGTTTAACTGCATCTTCCTTGTCTTTGATCAATAAAGTTAAATTTATGGTAAACAATTGTCATATTATGTTAGGCTATATTAACGATAGTAACTACTAATTATATTTCAAGTAATTTGGCCTATATACAGATATTAGGCACCATCTCTTGATACATTTAATAATTAATTTAGATAATTCTGGAAGAAAAGAATCAGCCCAAAGTGGGACTTGAATCCACAACTCCTGCTTACCATGTAGTCACATCACCAGTTAAACTATCTGGATCTCTGTCTGATCTTCACTTCCAAAACCATTAATTTAGATATAACCATACTGGTTACTCATGATGCCAACTTTTGGGATGACTCAGTGCCCACAGCCTATAAACTCCCACTATGACATTCAACTAGCAATTGCTTTCTTTACTCCAGATTTGTAAATTATATATATATATAATCCAGTAATAATTTGGCTTTAATCTAAAAATTGGGTTTGTAGATGTTTATGTTTAAGTTTATGGCACGTAAGTGATCTTACAATATAGATAAAGTTTGCTCAGTTTATTTTTAATTAAAATTTCAAACCTGTATTGATTGATGTGGACTTAATTCGTCCATCCACCGCGAACTTGCTTCCATTCCCTGAATGTCATTCTGTCCGGATCCATCATTTATAACATCCTGATGATCAAGAAGTGCATCTAGAATTAAAAAATTTACTTCAATTTGAAAAGTGATGCAATACAAAATAATAATAATAAAACAATAAGTTTCTAGTAAAATAAGCTATTTAAGGGTCATATTATTATGTACAACTGCAATATATGTTAATAATAATTATAGGCTACAAAAATTTCCTCAAATTATCTACTAATTGTATATTTAAATGAGTAAAGAATGTTTAATTTCTCTATATTTATAATAGTCATAAATTTCTTAATCTTTGTAAATATTTCTAATTCACTACACTTGAATTACAGAATTGTTCATTTTGAACCATGTCTTTTAGAGGGTCTTAGAACATTTTTGGAATTTTTCTTAAGTTATGTTTTGTGATGATTATAAAAAAGTTTTTATGTAAAAAATTTTATGTTGAGATTTCACTTATATATGTAAAGGGATTTTTAAAGACAACTGTCTTTGTGCATACTTCCATTCTATTTTTTCAAAACTTTTGAAACATTGTGATTTTTAATGTTTTAGTTCACATACATAGTAGACCAATTTTCAGAGCTATAGCTTATTTGGTTCCAGACTACCTAGAATTACGAGATGGGGTTAAAAATGATTCTATATAGATTCAGAAGCTTGATTCCATGCTCCAAACATGTTCATTTTTTTGTCGTTTTTGAACACCATATAGTTCAGACACACAACATAAGGCAATCTTCATTTTAATTTTATTCAATTTTTATTTGATACATGTACCTGTTTTTTGTACATGTTTCGAGCTTGTGTAGACCACTCCTCAGTCAACTAAAATTATATAATATATACGAATTACAATAAATATACATATATAAAAATTTCTTACACATATAAAAAAACTCCCTTTACATATATAAGTGAAATCTCAACATTAAATTTTTTACATAAAACTTTTTTATAATCATTACAAAACGTACCTTAAGAAAAATTCCAAAAATGTTCTAAGACCCTCTATAATTTCTCTTAATTGATGATCAATTTTAATTTTTTCTAGTTATTCAATAAAGTAATTATTAGTTATCTTGTTAATCAATAAAATGTTCATTTTCCTTTTTCTCCCATATTATTATTTTTGTTATAGAGGGCAACACTCATTTTGATACACTAGGATAAAATCATGCACTACACTAGGATATTGTCGTGCTCACTGAAGTCACAGGATATTTCAATCCAGTGTCATCCAAAAAACAGATGCTCATTTATTGAAAATTGCATTACCAGTTACATGCCCAGAAAATACGTAGTACGATCCAAAAGTTTGGGGACGTGGCGTAAAATTCCTTACCTTAAAAAGTTTATACAGTAGAGTCCCGAAAACTCAGCCTAATGTGGACTGAAAGGTGGCCGAGTTTATGAAAATGCCGTGTTAGCGAGAATGGGGTTAAAAAAGAATAAGTACGAGTGTTTCCTCAGAAAATACTATACTGTACTTGTATGTATTGTTTGCTTGAGAATATAACAGAGAATAAACTGCCCAAATACCCTTAAACAAAGGAAAAGTACTGTACGTACTGTACTTTATGAAGGCACAGAGCCTTTACTATATAAAAATGAAAATTAATGAATACACAGTGTACAGTAATTTACCTGATAAGACAGATCTCGAAAAATACTTTATGACACATAAAGCTGTCTATAATGAAAATTAACTAGAGGTTTTTTCGCCCTGCGAGGGTGTGGCCGAGTTATCCGGACTGCCGGGTTATTGAGTGCCAAGTTTTCGGGACTCTACTGTATTGCCGATGTACAACCACCTTCAAAGTAATCATCTTGGGCAACGATACACTTTTGCCAGCACTTGTATAACTTCTGGAAGCACTGCTGGAAGCCATTTTTTGAAACCTCCCATAAGGCCTCCTGCGATGCTGCTCTCACCTCATCTGATGACACAAAACGGCATCTCTGCATATGTTTTTTCATTGATGAAAACAAATAAAAATCACAAGGGGCTAAGTCCGATGAATAGGCGAGATGTGGAAGCACATTAATTTGAGTTTTGGCGAGAAACTGTGTGACCATTTGGGACTGATGTGAAGGTGCGTTGTCATGCAGAAGGTACAAGTCTCCACTTCGCCAGATCTGTGGCCATTTACAAAGAATGGATTCCCTCAAACAACATAAAATGTCTAGATAATGCTCCTTGTTTACTGTTCAGCCTTTGGGAATAAATTCTGAATGAACAATTCCTTGAGAATCAAAAAATACCTCCATCACAACTTTCCTTTTGCTCCGATCCTGCCGGAATTTCTTTCATTGCGGTGAGGAGGGTGATTTCCATGTTGAAGAAGCACGTTTTGATTGGATATCAAATAAATAACACCATGTTTCATCACCTGTTATGATGTAATTCAAAAAAGCTGGATCCTTATCGGCTTTGTCAATTAAATCACCTGATATTCTCATTTGTTCTTCCTCTTATTCAGAAGTCAAAAGCCACGGGACAATGTGCTGAGACACTCAGTGCATGTTAAGATCTTCCATTAAAATATGCTGGCAACTAGTCTTTGATAAGTGAGTAGCCGCAGTGATTTTTTCAAGGGTTTGGCGATGATCTTTGCGAACACTTTGAGAGACCAATTTAACATTTTCCTCATTCCGTGAAGTCGAAGGTCGGCTAGAGCGTTCATAGTCTGCAATGGATTCTCGGCCCTCTTTAAAACACCAATGCCATTCGTACACCTTCAATATCGGCATGGTAGAATCATCATGCACCTTTCTTAGCAATTTTAAAGTCTCCATAGGTGTTTTACCTAAATGCTGACAAAATTTAATGTTGCAGTGCTGTTCTTAAAACTCCACTTTTATTATGTTGCAGAACAAAGGTAACTATCTCTGGAAGAAAACAGCAGCGCTTGCGGTTTAATCACATAACATGGGTGAAACCAACCTGAACACGTAGGGGTGGTTTGGTAGAATCCATTTTATACGCTGTAACTTCAAATACATGCTTTTGTTGTCATAGATTACAGCAGTCCCCGAACTTTTGGATCATACTACGTATGTCTCTCAATGAATAACTTTTTTCAACTTTTATGCAATACAGAACCAACAAGACAGAAGTCTGGCATCATATTTTGACTAGCAGTTTATGTGGATTTCAAGTATCCTTTAAATGGAATTCCATACACAGGAAAAGATAACCACCATCCTTCAGACAATAAGGTCAGAGAAAAATTAAAAGCCAATAAAATCAGTCTAGTTGGTACAGTGAATTGTACAAGAGAAGTGCCAACATGAGTGAAAAAATTTGGCACTTCTCTTCTTGCAAAATACTTCAGTAATGTTATTGCAATTAACTCTACTGAAGCATGAGGATGTAACAATGACAGTTCATTAGGGAGAAAAGAACAAGAATGATGGCCAATGCATAACTTCAATTTACTGGACCTGGCTGCAACAAATGCCTGGGTTCTGTACAGGCAGAGTCTGAGTAAAAGATTTCCTAAAGAAAATTCATTATCTAACTGTGCAAGGAATTGTGAGAGGACCATCTAGAAATCCGAAAAAACTATCTGCACCACAATATCTCTTATCCCACCCCCAGGGTCATCCAAAATCAAGAAAACAAAAAGTACTGGATAGAATCCAGTAAAGGCAATGAAACTGTGGGTATATGTAATGTTTTTTCAAAGTTCATCTACAGAACCTGCTTGGGAACAAAACTACACGTTATTAGATGCAGCATGATATGCAAAATAATAATATAATAAATTTTTAAATTTTGATAACTATTATCTGCATTATTTTGATTTGTGAGCAATAAAAGTTCACAATGAAATTAGAGTAATAAAGCCATATGAAACAGACAAATTAAAATTATGATTATTACTGCTACCTTTTGTAGGCAGGTAATATTCATCATTTTAATTGAAATAAGAGCATTTGAGATTTCATTTCTAATTTTAAAACTTATCAAATTTTCTGAGAGGGTCAAAATTACCTCATTCAGTGATTTTATGTAAGTATATATTTGTTAATAATAAAAATGATTTAAATTAGAAAGAGGTGACCTTTTAGCAGTTAAAAGAATTTCATTTAAAATTAATTTTTCAATATTAATGCACATTATTAATAAAAGTAGACATGAGAAAGGATTGAAAGATTAATGTTTTTTATTAAAGAGATCATTTAAAATATAAATAATTAAAGACAGATCAAATTTAAAAAATATTATGTTAGAAATACATTTCAGTTATAAAATTTTATCAAAGGAAAAACAGTATAAATTTTTGTTTGTACACACAGACACCAAAGATCAGATCTAAATCAGTGAAATCTAATATGAGTAAAAATAACTTTAACATCTTTTTTTTATCTGTAAATTTTGTTTTTTCTAAAAACATGTTCATTATATGCAGGAAATGTTGAATTGAGATAGCAAAAAAAAATATGGCAAGGTTAAACAATTGTTTATGTTTGAAAATGCAAACATTACATACTTTTTAGTGCTTCAATTTGTATGAATAAAACATCTACATCATTTCATAGGTAACGAAAATGTGTACATCTCCATACTACTTGCATATTTACATTTAAAACTAACTTTAATATTTAGAAATTCAAAACTTAAAATTATTTAAATTGCTAATGTCTTTGGAATTCAAATATCATAGTTAAATAAGATGTTATTCTGTTCTATCTCATTTAAGGATGATTGATGATAGTGTAAAGTAGGCCTATGCTAAAGATGTTTATGATTTAGATAATTTTTAAGTTTTATACTTCTAAATATTAAAAGTAATTTTAAAATTAAATTGTGCATCTTCATAATTCAAACAAAAACTTTTTCAACCAATTACAAGAAATTACAAATGATGTTATACAATATTTCATGATTTAAACATATTTACATGTTAAAATCATATTTAAACAATTCTTTAATCAAATTACCTTATCAAAAGTTGAAATTTTAATTTTGTTAAAATCTCAAGTGCAATATTATTTTTCTGAAATTCATTGAAACATTATAGTAGAATAATATACAGTAGAGCGTCGATTTCCCAAAAGTCAATCATCCAAAAGAATTCCAGTCGGCAAATTTAAATTTTCGCCAGTGCTGTGGCGCTTCAATCTTTGGCTATGTCTTGGGCTACTCAAATATTTTACGTTTTTGATACTAAATTAACATCTGAAGTATAGTTTTTTATTATTTTTATATTTTTCAATATATTTATTTTGTTTGTACAAAATAAAAAAATAATTTTTAACGATACAATAGTCTTTGTTAGGCTTAACATCGACGAAAATTCAACGCGAAGCGACACGCAACGGATAAAAATTTTAACATCGGATACGTTAAACTATTTTTTCTTACATAAATCGGTTATCCGAAATATCAGTTATACGAACAACCCCAGTCCCCAATTGATTCGGAAAATCGACGCTCTACTGTAT